AGATCATGCAGGTTTGTCTCTCTTTGCCTGGCTTATTTCTCTTAGCATCATGTCCTCCAGGTTCATCCACATTGTAGCAAATGGCATGATTTCCTTCTTTTTTATGGCTAAATATATTTATTTGTGCATATATATATATGTTTTTCTTTTGTGTGTGTGTGTTAACTTAAAAAGATTTGTTTCTAGCTTTATTGGGTATTATTGACAAATAAAAGTGGATAATTTTAAGGTATACAATGTGGCATTTTGTGAAATGGTTACCACAATTAAGTTAGTTAACACACTTGTCACCTCACCTAGTTGCTTTTGTTCTGGTTTGGTTTGGTTTCTGGTGACAACATTTTAGCAAATTTCAAGTATATAATTCAGTATTGTTAACTATTGTTACCATGCTGTATGCTAGATCCCCTGAACTTATTCATCTTATAACTAAAAGTTTGTAGCCTTTGACCAACATCTACCTTTTTCTCCCACCACACTGGCCCTGGTAACCACCATTCTACTTTCTGTTTCTATGAGTTCAATTTTTTTTTTTTGAGATGGAATCTTACTCTGTTGCCCAGGCTGGAGTGCAATGGCACGATCTCGGCTCACTGCAACCTCCGCCTCCCGGATTCAAGCAGTTCTCCTGCCTTAGCCTCCCAAGTAGCTGGGATTACAGATGTGTGCCCCATGCCTGGCTAATTTTTTGTATTTTCAGTAGAGATGGAGTTTCAACCTGTTGGCCAGCCTGATCTCAAACTCCTGACCTCAGGTGATCCACCTGCCTTGGCCTCCCAAAGTGCTGCAATTACAGGTATGAGCCACCGTGCCCAGCCTCCTTTAGCCTTTCTAATAAAGCAATGCAGACCTACTGACAACTACTTTTCTTAATTTTCTTTCATCTGAAAATGTTTATTTCACTTTTCATCTTGAATGATATTTTTGCTGGGATACAGAATTCTGGGTTGACAGGATTTTTTTCCTTTCAAAACTTTAGATGTTGTTCTACTATCTTCTTTCCTTCATCATTACTGACAAAACGTCAACAATAATTTAAATATTTGTTTCCCTGTATGTAATGTTTCATTTTTCTCTGGATACTTTCAAAATTTGTTCTGTATATTTGTTGTTTAGCAGTTTTATTTGTCACCTGGACATGATTATCTATTTTTTTTTGAAACAGAGTCTTGCTCTGTCACCTAGGCTAGAGTGTAGTGGCACTATCTCGGCTCACTGCAACCTCTGACTCCCGGGTTTAAGCAATTCTCTTGCCTCAGCCTCCCAAGTAGCTGGGATTTACAGGCATGCGCCACCATGCCCGACTAATTTTTGTACTTTTAGTAGAGATGGGGTCTTACCATGTTGGCCAGGCTGGTCTTGAACTCCTGACCTCAAGTGATCTGCCCACCTTGGCCTCCCAAAGTGCTAGGATTACAGGTGTGAACCACTGCACCTGGCCATGATTTTCTTCATATATTATATTATATCGTATATATCATATGTTATATATCATATATATCATATGCTTTCTTATTTATCATATTATATATTATATGTCTATTATAGTTTAATGTTGTTCATTTCTTAACATTTTATGTCTTTTTGTAGTCTCTTTTCATCTACAAGTTTTCCCTCCATCCCTTTCCATTCCTTATAGATTTTCTGTTGAAGAACCCAGGCCTTTTGACCTACAGAGTCTTCCAAAGTCTGAATTTTACTGACTGCACATTAATGTTGCAGTTCATGTCCCTTCATCCTCTGTATTTATTGCAAATTGGCAGCTGGTTCCAGAGGCTTGGTCAGCCTCTGATGCAATCCCTTTGACAATACTGTAGATGCTGTTGTGTTCTTTCATTAGGAGTCACATGACGTCTGATTTTCTCTCCTTTTATGATGTCAGCAGTTGTTAGGCACAATATTTAGATCTATTAATTTATTGGTGGCTACAAAATAATGACACTCTAATTCTATAATTTCTTTTTCACATAATAATTGATTTTTTTTTTTTTTTTTTTTTTGAGATGGAGTTTTCGATCCTTGTTGTCCAGGTTGGAGTACAGTGGCGTGATCTCGGCTCACTGCAACCTCTGCCTCCCGGATTCAAGCAATTCTCCTGTCTCAGCTTCCCAAACAGCTGGCATTACAGGTGCCCACCACCACACCCCACACCTGGCTAATTTTTGTATTTTTAGTAGAGACAGGGTTTCACCATGTTGGCCAGGCTGGTCTCGAACTCCTGACTTCAGGTGATCTCGGCCTCCCAAAGTGCTGGGATTACAGGCATGAGCTGCTGCGACCAGCTGGAATATTTTTAACAGATGCTTCTTTCTAATCTATTTGGTTCTTTATAGGTATAGTTCATATAGGATAGGTAGAATAAATTCTTGATTTTTTTTTTTTTTTTTGAGACAGTCTTGCTATGTCATCCAGGCTGGAATGCAGTGGTGTGATCTCAGCTTACTGTAACCTCCACCTCCTAGGTTCAAGCGATTCTCGTGCCTCAGCCTCCTGAGTAGCTGGTATTACAGGCATGTGCCACCATGCCCAGCTAAATTTTGTATTTTTAGTAGAGACGGGGTTTCACCATGTTGCCCAGGCTGGTCTCGAACTCCTGTCCTCCAGTGATCCACACACCTTGGCTTCCCAAATTGCTGGGATTACAGGCATGAGCCACTGCACCTGGTCAATTCTTGATTCTTTACCTTTGTTTTTTCACTTCTCAAGTTACTTAGCTGGTTCCTGTAAAGAACTAGCTCTCTTTAAAAAATAAAATAAAAGTATAAACTTATGAATTCTAACACATTTGATGGGTTTTAATCCATGGCAGTTATTATTATTAATGACACTCAAATTGTCCTGTCTCCCAGAGTTGGAGCCTCTTCAAGTCAGCTCCAGAATGACTTGATAAACTCCTGGTAGTGTTTGTAGCATCCTTACTATCTGGTATGACCAAGCATCTCAGCCTTATCTTTTATATTCCTCATCCCAGATTTACAATAACTGTTTCTCCAAAAAGCCCCGAATCACAATCCAAAGAGCTGGGATTACAGGCATGAGCCACCGCGCCAGGCCTTTTCTCTACCATTTAAACCATTTTGAACTGCATAAGTCACTGGTTTTTAGTATATTCACAAAGTTGCTCAACCGTCACTGCTATTTAATTCTAGAATATTTCCATCACCCCTAAGTAAACTCTGCATCTCCCAATTCCTCCTGCCCCATATTCCTTGGCAACCGGTCATCTACTTTCTGTCCCTATAAATTTACCTATTCTGGACTTTTCATACACATGGAGGCATACAATACATGGCCTTTTGTGTCTGACTTCTTCCACGTAGCATGCTTTCATGACTTGTTTATGTATATAGCATAAATGCAAGTTATTAAGTAGAAAATATAAATCAATACGAGAATGATTGAGCACCAAATTTCTCATCTCCCCCCTCCCCCTACCCCGCCGCCGCCGCACACAGCAGGTTGCTGAGGCTGACTTCAACTTGGTTGTTCCTTGAAGTAGCCTGAAGCTCCTAGTGAGCAGGAACCATCTACCCCTGCCAGGAAGCACGATGCATAGACAGCAACTGCTGGCCATTATGTAATGCTTCAGGAAGAAAGCTGGTCTGGGGTGGGGTAGGGAGGTCACATCCCAAGGTGTGTCTCCCTTCAGCCCATTAGTCAGAACAACTCCTGGCTATGTGGGTCCAGCTTCTGACATACTTGGCATCACCACCACTCTGCCATCCCAGATGGACAGTGGCTTTCAGCATTGAGATGTGGGTTCTAATGTGGTTGCAGAACCTAAACCAGGGCATGAAGAGTGAGGAACAGATTACAACTGCTGAGCTGTGAACCCCTCTCCCCACAAAACTGTGACCAGAGCCTACCCGCTTGGACTTCAGCAACTAATGCTATCAGTCCCAAGTGAGAGACTGCCTCTCATCCTTCAAGGAAGGCTTGGCTCAGAGATCCTCAAGACCTGGAGCCGGCCGCGGTGGCTCATGCCTGTAATCCCAGCACTTTGGGAGGCCAAGGCAGGTGGATCACGAGGTCAGGAGATCAAGACCATCCTGGCTAATACAGTGAAACCCCATCTCTACTAAAAATACAAAAAATTAGCTGGGCGTGGTGGCGGGCACCTGTAGTCCCAGCTACTTGGGAAGCTGAGGCAGGAGAATGGCAAGAACCCGGGAGGTGGAGCTTGCAGTGAGTTGAGATCGTGCCACTGCTCTCCAGCCTGGGCAGCAGAGCAAGACTCCATCTCAAAAACAAACAAACAAACAAACAAAAAGACCTGAAAGTCTCTCCCAGTGCCCACTCCCCCACCCAGCGCCACCCCCAGCTCTGGACCCCACCTCCCGTATGCATCTGTCTGGTAGAGCTCTGACCACAGTGAGTTGAATGATGTGTTTATATGTCAGTTCCCTCAACCATTTTGGGAGGTTCTTGAAAGCAGGGACTGCATTATATTCACTTGATATCCTTATTGCCTAATTCAGAGAATACTGTTCATCAATTTGTGATAAGTTAGAGAGGGAATAAGTCAGCATAGTGATTAGGAGTCTTCTCCTGGCCGATGTGGCTCATGCCTGTAATCCCAGCACTTTGGAAGGGTAAGGCGGGTGGATCACTTGAGCTCAGGAGTTTGAGACCAGCCTGGGCAACATGGTGAAACCCCATCTCTACAAAAAATGCAACAACAACAACAACAAAATTAGCCATGGTGGCATGTGCCTGTGGCCCCAACTACTCAGAGGCTGAGGTGAGAGGATCGCATGAGCCCAGGAGGTGGAGGTTATGGTGAAACAAAATGGTGCCATTGCACTCCAGCCTGGACGACCTGAAGACCCTGTCTCAAAAAATAGTCTTGTCCTTTAAGCAGACTGCCTAAGTGCAGCAGCTTCACCTCTTCACTGTTCCTCCTCTTCTTCCTCCCTACAGTAAAACCCCACACAGAATGGGGTTCAGGGTAAGTATTTAGATGAGTGCTGAATCATTTAAAATTTAAAAATCTCCACCTATAGGATTTCTGAACAATATCTTTATTTAGCTCAGGTAGTTGTTCTTACACATTTTTGGATACTTGGGTTAGAACTTTCCCTATTACATTAAATCAATGGTTCTTAAACCTTATGCAGGCATGTAAGCACAATGCAGGCTAGAATAGAAAGATTGTTGTGTACAAACATTAAAAATAGACATTTTATTACAAGAGTGTAGAGAATGGAGACCAATAGAAGGTAATTGAAATACCACAACCTCACTCCAGCCCCAATCCTGGTGCCTGAATATGTGCACTGCCTCTGCGCTCTGCTCCCCATAGACACAAGTCCCCAGGCCCTCCTGGACAGCAACAAGGGTTTTACAAGGCCAGAAGGCAGCCCTGTTTGTTCCTGCCTACAGGAAGGGCAGAGGAATGCGATATTCCCAGGAACTGTGTCCTAGACCCATAGGGCCAGATTGCTCAGCCTAGTTCAAGTAGTGAGACTACCTCTGTGCCAGTATCCTGGGCTGTCTCTTCCCTTCACTCTTGGCAGCTCCCAATTGTCAAAGATTGGACAGGGTCCTGGTGTGGCCAGCTCTAACTTGCTCAAGCCAGTCAGCACCTGCACAAAGCCAGCTAACTGCTGGGCCCAGGGGCTTCCAGAGAGTTCTTCAGAGCTTCTCAGAGGCCTAAGGACCTCCTAACCCTAGCAGGCCTCCTGGCTCAAGCACCACAACTTGGGAAGGCTCCATCAGCATCTATGTGGCCCTGTTTTACCTGTTGTCTGTGGAGGGTGTGCAGAGGCAAGTCCAGGGTAGGGGCAGGCAGTATCCCTTAGGCTTGCCCACAGCCCAGATAGCAAAACTGTAGCCAGATCAGTGTCTATATAAGTTTCAGGCTGAACCTTAGATCACTTAGGCCAGCCCGCCGATCTGGCTGCCCAACCAGACCAGATAGACGAGTCTAGGCCTCAGGGCTCTCAAGCACCTAAGAGCGCAGCTGCATTTGGAAGTGCTCACAGCAGGCGTGCTTCATGGTCAGCCCATAGATGGGGGTCATGTCCACCTTCACACCCGGTGGCACGCTGAACTCCACCCGCTGCAGCAGGATGGCCAGGAAGAGAAAGACTTCCCAGCGGGCAATGGTCTCACCGATGCACTTCCGCTTGCCCAAGCCAAAGAGAATCACCTTCTCACTTAGCACCTTGTCGATAGCACCATCAGGGGTGATAAACCGTTCAGGTAGGAACTCAGATGGGTTGACCCATAGCTTCCTGTAACCAGAGGAAGACAACTGAAGTGGCAGCTCAGGGCTCAGAAGCATCAAGTGAGTGGAGCCCCAACCCTAAAGGATAGAGGACAGGCAAGCAGCCCATGGACAGGAGGATCAATGCAATGATTGTATTAATAATATATAAGAGCTTAAGAGGGTAGACCCAGCCTTTCCTCTGCACCTCTGAACTTACTGGTCATGGTTGATCTGCCACTGGTTCACAAAGACACAACGCCCCTTGGGGATGTAAAACCCTTTCAGACTTGTGTCTCTTGTGGTGCTAGGGAGAAAGGAAGCTCAGTCAGGCTCAGGGCAACAGGCAAATCTCCCTGTCTCCCACGCTGTGTCCCTCCCACTAACCCTAATCAGGTATGTGGTCTGGAGTAAAACCAGTAACAGACAGCAGTGTCTCCATGGGGCCTTACCTGTGGGGGATGGTGAAGGGGACGAAGGAGGAGTGTCGGAAGGTCTCCAGGATAAAGGCCTCCATATAGGGGAGATGGGATCTGTCAGAGAGCCGGGGGCGCCGTGACCTGCCAATCACTGTGTCTGTAGAACACAGGGGACAAGATGGATTCAGGGGCTGCCTAGACTTGGCCAGGCCCCTGGCACTGACCCCTTTGAAGGGAGCCACTACCTACCTAGCTCTTCTTGGATCTTTCTCTGTATCCTGGGGTTCGTCACCAAATACATGAGGCTCCAGGAGATAGCAGTTGTGACTGTGTCAAACCCTGGACAGGGTAGAACAGAAGAAGTTAGGCAGGCGGCAGGTCAGGGCACTTGAGTACAGGAAGGACACATGGGGTAACTCATACCAGCTCCAAAGAGGTCCAAGACGACATTAACGATTTTCTCATCTGACAGTTGGATATTAGCGTTCTCATCCAGCTGCTTCTCCTGACAGTGCTCAATCAGGCTGTCTGTGATGTCCCGGATGTGGCCCTTAGGTAGGGAAAGTCCACAGGTGAGCAAGATCTCAAACCCAGAGCTACCTCTCCATCCAGGTCTGGTCCTTCACTATTCCTAGCATCTTTGTTCTGGAGGTGATGCCCCCTGAGGCTGTTGTCCCAGCTTCTCTCTGCCTCTGCAAGGCTGTCTCCTACTACCTTAGAATGCTGCTAGTCCCAACTCAAGGGACAGCTGACACACAGCATCTTGTACTGTTATCACCTGGATGTGCTCTTTATCTTCTTTCTATTATGAGGCCAGGAGATGAACTCTTTAACTCTTCCTGGCTCCCTCAACAACTGCCCCAGGGTCCGGCATGTAATGGCTATTCAGTGGCTATTGCTGTCTGGTGGAAGCATGGAAGGGTTGGTCAAGAAAAGGTTCTATTTCCCTGCCAAGGAAGAAGACTATTCCACAACTGGCTTCAAGATCCCAGGTTGAAGCCTCCCTGAGAACTTGCCAAGCCCCATACAGTTCCTCTTACCTCTGACCTCCCAGGCCCTGACCCCATCGGCTTCCCACCATCCACCTGCTTTTCCCCAGACTGTACCTTCTCAAAGGTTTTGTAGTGCTCCTTGATCATCTTCTGCATGAAGCTGTGGAACTTCTCATTCAAGTCCTTGAAGCCATTAAGGGAACGGTTGGGCAGGTAGCGAAGAATAGGGATGAAGTCAGCTGGGTTTCCAGAGCCAACCACCTCCCCGAAATTATTACTCAGGTTGACTAGGCTAAGCAGTTCTTGGTGGTTGTGGTCATAGCGCTGGCCAAAGCAAATGGCACAGATGACATTGGCCACTGATATCACCACATACCTGTAGGGGTTAAAGTGCCCAGGCCCTGCCATCTGCTCCTGCAACTTGCTGATCAGGACCTCAGCCTCCTTGCTCACATGCTCCTCCAGGTAGCAGGAAGATGAGGAGGCTGGGTCAGAGGCAATAGAGAAACTTTTCAGGCCATTCTGGGCCAGGCGCCGGCGGGCAGCCCACACTGGTCCAGAGTCTGGGCCGAAGGACATGCTCTGGCCATTACTGATGAGGGTGAAGCTGTAGAGGTTGGGCCGGCCCTTGAAATCATCGCCCTGCTGCACCAGGGCCTGCCGGATGGTGTCCAGGCCGCTCAGCACCAGCACAGGTGTGGAGCCAATGCGAATCTGCAGCACGTCCCCATACCGCTGGCTCATCCTTGACAGTGCCAGGTGTGGGTTCTTTCCCAGGGTTAGTATGTGCCCGATCAGGGGCCAGCCCCATGGCCCTGGTGGATTCTTCAGGCCTTTGGGGACCCGAGGTCTTGAGGCCCTGATTACCCAGAATACTAGACAGAAGATGAGAGAGGCTAGAAGAAACTCCGTGGCCGACATGGAGATTCGGAAAAGCATGATCAGTGTAGGGATCTTGGAGGTGGCTGCTGAGAGAAGGAGCAGGAAGAAAAAAAAATCAAGCCATCAGATTGGGGAACGAGAAGAGCCAACATCCTAGAGTATCAGGGAAAGGGGAAACCTTTCCACCAGAACTGCTTACTGAGCATGAAGAAGAGGATGAGGAGGGGAGAAGTTGTTGAGCTATCACTGTGGGCTAAGAATTTCACAGTCTTTCTTCATTCAGCACTAGCCACAAATCTATGAAGTAGGCTGCAGTGAGGCTCAGAGAAGATAAGTAACTTGCCCAAGGTCACACAGCCAGAAAGTGTTGGATGCAGACTCCCAAGCCAAGTTGCCTAATTCCAGAATGCTTTCTCTTAACTGCTATACCAATCTAAAATGACATCTTCCAATGTCAATCTGTGATTTCCACATAGTACCAGTACTGTTACTTACTTCACATTTTCCTAAAATCGACTGTAAATCTATCTACATATCATCATAAACAATATCTGTGTGAAAGTACAACTTTGATTTTTCCCCTAACACATTAAAATAAATACATAATCAATGTGTATCACCCCAAGTCCTACCCACTACACTTAGGAAAACCATGTTCTCAGGGGAAGTAGGGATCATCTGATCCTTTAGCCTCATTTAACATTTGGGGGAAGCAGCACTGACTTGCCCAAAGTCCCCCAGCAATCAGTGACAGAGCCAGGACTCAGACTCCTTAGGGACACTTCCCTGGAAATTTCCAGCTGCTGTCACATGTACCTCCTTTCGAAGAGTGGTCAGATCAATGAAGGAATTTTCCCAGAACCCTCAGTTCTCTGCTGCTCAATCCTAGGATGCAGGAAATCCCACCAGACCCCAGGACAGAGTGAAGAAGAGACAGGGGACAGGATGGCCACTTCCCAAACCACATTGCTCTCAACCCCAGCTCTCTGAGTTCAACTGACCCACAGTTTAAAGGCAGCTGGAGACCAGCTAGATTGAGCTCTTTAGTCAGAGAAATCCAGGCCAGGGTTTTTTGTTTTTTGTTTTTTGGTTTTTTTGGCTCAATTCTCAATGAATGAACAGTTTGGACCTCCCCCTTTTGCAGGTTACCAGAGAACAGAGAATAAATGGAAGGTTCCCACTAGGCTGTAAGAAAACCCCAGACTGGAATCAGGGAAATCAGGAATGGATCTAAACTGAAAGGAAACTGAGGCAATACTTTCTCTGTAAGCTTGACCTAAAAAGGGTGTGTAAATTCATAAACCACTCCAACATATCAGGCATCTGCCTGCTACCCTGGACTGGAGGTCAGTAGACCCAACATTCTAGTCAAAGTGATCTTGGACTGCACATTTTACTTTTCTGGGGTCCAACCTCAACACTTGAGAGAGGGTGACACAAGATCTCTCAGTTCAGAGTGCCCAGCTGGATCCAGAGGGAAGAGAAAACTCAGATCTGCCGTGGGGAAGCTGACAGTCTTACCAGTGAGGCTCCCCACAGGAGAACCACAAGACAGGGAGATGGATGGTCCCTACCACAAGTATTATAGTGGAGGGAGGCTTCCTGGAGGGGCTAAATCACACTAGATCCCAGAGTGAACAGGGGACAGTACCAGGCTTTGGTGTGCCATGGTGTCCCCTTCTGCACAATGGGTGTCCCAAGGACCTGCAGCCTTTGTAAGATGGTAGGAGGCCAAGGGAGATGTGACTGGTGAGTTTTTAGGGACTGGTATTTCCAGCTCCCTGCAATTGGCAATCTGTCACCCTGATTGTCTACCAGCAAAGGACAAAGAAGATGGTCAATGAGATAGGAAAGGCCTAGGACTCCTGCACAGATCTGCCTCTATTGTCTCAGCTGTCTAGGACATCTCAGCACTGACAAGCCACCCTTGGGAGGGTAAAATCTGCCAGGGGTAGCTTCTTAGGCTAGGGCAGGGTATAGCTGGTAAGAACCCAGTCAATCCCCTCCTTTCATCCTGCCCACCCAAGGAGAAGCGCCTGTCATCAGAAAGCCTGAGGGAGGGGCTGCACATATTCCAGCCTGCCAGGTGGCCTTGATGGGGAAGCCCCATGGTGGGCAGGGAGTCACTTACTAGGGGATGGAGCTGGAGCCTGGGTCCTGAAGTCCTGAATGAGACGCCATTCGTATCTAGAGGTCTGGTACCAGCTGTGGGACCATGGGCAAGTCCTCCTCTTCCCCTGGCCTCAGTTTCCCCACTAGAGAGCTAGACTGCCTGATCACTAAAAACATTCTGAGCCTCCCTTTTTGGAGGTGCTAGACAGGTAGCTACCTAGGAAGTCCTGGAGGCACCAAAATGTTCCTTTTATTGGGAGAGAAGGGGCAAGCCAGAAGCCCCCCAGCAACTCACCTGTGGCTGTAAGGAGGTACTGAGCTGAGCTGGGAAGAGTGGACTCTTAGAGCCTGGGATCACAAGGTTCAAGGAAGGTTCCAAGGAACTGTCACCTTCAGGGTGAGGGTGAAAGCACAGCTACCTTTATAGGCGGGCTCGTACGTGTGGCCAGCCTCCTTCCCTGGAGCGCTGAGATGGAGGGAGGAGCAGCCTGAACTGGGCTGGTCTCTCTGGGATAGGAGGAAAAGGTGGAGGAGGGCAAGGGGGTGGGGGAGAGTGGGAGGGATGGGGGAGGGCGGGGGGGTGGGGTAGGGCAGGGGGGTTGGGCAAGAACCCACTATGGGACACCTCATCTCGGTGCCTGTACATAGAGGGGTGAGGGCTGGGGACACCTGGAAGCCCCAATTCCAAGGCGTCCCAAGGGCAATGCAGAAACCAGCCGAGAAGGGGGTTTGAGGGAGAAGTCCCAGGACAGAACTAAGAGAGGGTACGGGAAGCTCCATCCTGGGGCACGGGGACTTCTCTTCGTCATTTTTGCACCCACCAGAACACTGGGCGTGCAGATGCCTCCCCAGCGCTACAGTCTACCCGGACTCGGCAGGCGGGGGCGGGGCTGCCGCGTGGTGACCTCCTTCCCGGGGTTACTGAGTCCCGGCTCGCGTGAGAAGTGCTACGACCCCAGTCCTGAGGTCACGGGCGGCGGAAGGCCAGAGGCGCCGCGGGGCTGGCCCTGTCCCCCAGAGCCCGGGCTACTAGCTGAGGTTCGCGCCTCTTGATTGAAGGATCTGAATGGATGGCAAAGGCGCAGGTTCGCTGAGCGCTCACTAGCGGCTCCGCACCGCCTCTAGGATCGCCTTAGTCCTAATTGCAACCCCGCGGTCCCTCCAGCCAGGATCCACCAGCCCTTGAGGGTCCCTCTTGGCTCCCGGAGTTGCTAGTGCTTTGATTGGCGGAGCACAGAAATCCGGCCGCGGGGGGCCGAGGAAAGACTCTGGGGGCCAGGGACCACGGAGTGGGCATCTGTCGCGGAGCCCCCACCCCACCCCACCCCCGGCTAGCTTGCGTGCGCCAGCGACATCCCTCTATGGGGCAGAGGTCAGGCAGCCCGTCCCCGCCCCACCTGGCCCGGGGGCGCGGTGCCCAGGCGTTGCGTGAGAAGGACCGGAGGCCAGCGCAGCCACCCGGCCGCCCCATTCCCCGGCCCGGCGCGGGTCTCGCAGTCACGCGAGGTGGAAGGGAGTCGGGGCCGGGCTCTTAAAGGGCCAGCCTCGCGCGCGGCGTGGGGTTGGGGTGGAGGGAGAAGAACTGTTGAAGGGTGGCGGGTGCGCCATTGAATAAGGCGGTGCGGTGCAAAGGGTCCAGGTCTGCGTGCAGCTTCTGCCTTCGAGGAGAGACAGTCTGCGTGTGTCGGCATTTTCGGTCCACGCCTGTGGCAGGACACCAAGCCCCAGCGCCACGTGGCATGGTCTAGCTGCCTGCCTCCGACGCTGTCCCGCCCTCCCGAGCCTCCAGGGTTTCCAGGAAAAAAAAAAAAAAAAAAAAGTTGTATTTGCTTGTCTAGCTCAACCTGGCCCCAACTAACATCGTTACCCACCATCCCCGACGTCCTCCCCAACCAGATGGCACCACCGTCAGTCGCTGGTCCAGGCCAGAAAACAATCCCCTCACCTCCTATTCCGGTCATATGCGGCCTCATGCATTGCACAAATAATTTACCGAGCAAGCCATGAGCTGTTCGGAGGCGCTGGCGATTGACAGAGAAGGGAACACAGCTGACAGAACTCCTAATCTCGTGGAGCTTACATTCTGATGGAAGGAGACAAGTAGTATGCCCCAAATCTAGAGAATGTCAGAGGGTAAAAAGAGCTGTCGGAAAAAAAATAAACAGAAAAGGCGTGGGGATTATGTGAGGGCAGATTGCAATTCAAAACAAGGTGGTCAGGGACCGTCTTGCGGAGAGAGGCAGGAGTGTGGAGTCAAGAATCAACGCGCATAGATATCTGGGTAAAGAGTGTACCTGGGCAGGTGCGGTGGCTCATGCCTGTAATCCCAGGACTTTGGGAGGCCGAGTCGGGAGGATCACCTGAGGTCAGGAGTTCAAGACCAGCCTGGCCAATATGGCAAAACCCCATCTCTACTAAAAATACAAAAATTAGCCAGGCGTGGTGTTGCTCACCTGTAATCCCAGATACTGGTGGGGGGGGGGGCGGGTAGTGGTGGTTGGGGGGCATGGAGTCAGGCAGGAGAATTGCCTGAACCTGGGAGGTGGATGTTGCCATGAGCTGAGATCATGCTACTGCACTCCAGCCTGGGTGACAGAGCAAGACTCTGTCTCAAAAAAAAAAAAAAAAAAAAAAAAGACTGCAACTGTTAGAGGGAACAAGGAAAATCAAAGCCTCCCCCCACCCCCCACCACAGTGGTTCTTGAAGGACAGAGCAGTACCAGGGATGTGCAGAGGTCATCTGACAGGGGAGTTCTCCTGGCATGTAGTCCAGGGTGATGGGATGCCCATGAGGGACAGCACCCTGCCCCATGTGCAGGGAGCACCCCATTGAGAAACATCAAACTTCCTCTGTGCGAGGTAGAGACATTGCTGGGGTGTAAGAGAAGCAAGGTCACTCGGACTACTGTGCTAAGAATAGGAGGCACATTTCTCCACTTTGGCATCTATCCAGCTCCACTGCCACAACTCCTCCAGGGCCCATCATTGCTCCCTGGAGTACTTAGTCTCCACCTAGGTTTCCATTTGCCTTTTGCTCCTTCCAATTACTTCTCCATCCTGTGGCACCCAGAGTGTTCCTGTTAAAAACGCAAAATCTCATTCCGTCACCACCTTGCTTAAACCTCTTTGGTAGCTCCCACCACTCGGAAGATGGGAATGACAATCTTTAGCAGAACCTCCCAAGCCTGCATCCTTCTAGTTCTAGTGTCCCCTACCTTGAGTCTCAGATAAAACATCCCTTCCTCTGGGATGCCTTTCTGGATTCTCCCCACAGAAAATTAGGTTTCTCCTGGTCGCTGTTTCCAGCACTTCTCCATGGTAATTCTTAGGACGCTGGATACTTGCTATAACCCCGACCCAACCTGCCACTTCTTTCGGTATGCTCTAACAAGGAAAACCAACCTGCGGGAAACTGATCTGATACGCCAAGTCCGGGCAAGATATTAACAACTGGTAAAGGAGTTAGACACAGCTATGCTATACACAGGCCAAATGGCAAGAGAGATGTCCAAAGTGCTGATGCTATAATGGTGAAATTTAGGCAACAGAACAGGCAGGAGACAAGGGAAGTATTGCTGGGCTTTCTCAGCATTCTTCCAATCACTCTACCCTCTGCATCTTTGATTCCATCTGAGGAGCTTCATGGTACCCAAGAGAGGTCTGTCCTTCAATCCTAGTTGGAGCTAGAGCCACAGAGAGTAGAATGAGCCTGTGTGGAAGCCATGGCAAGGAAGTGGAAAGCAAGGCACTCCTAGATCCTCCAGCGTGCTCTGCAGACAACCTCTTCTTCAGCTTCCCAGGGTCCCCACCAATGCCCCAGCTCTGGAGAATCATGGCAGCCTGGTCACCAGGGCTGGAAGACCATCTAGTGCTGGGGCTCCCGACCAGGGACCCTTCTCTTGATAGAAAGTGCATTGCTTTGCTTGCATTATCTAAGAGGCTCTTGACTCATCAAAAATTCATTAACTAATAAAGCCAATTCCTCTCTCACTTCTTAGGTGGAGAGATGGGTGCCAGAAAAGAAAAGGCCCAAGTACACATGGCAAATCACAGCAGAGCCTAGAACTCCAGCTTCTTGCTTCTAGGCCAGGGTTCTTCTCACTATAACTTATCATCCCAGATTATGAGTGAAGCTCCAGGGAGCCAAAGGTAGACAGACTCAGCCCTTGGGCGAGGGCCCCCCACCTCTCCATACCCCTGGACTGGTGTACTGGGGTTATAAGAGATGTTATACTTCTCATCACCAAGCCCTGTCTTGGCTAATAGTTCACAATAACAGGAAGGGGGCCCACACTGAGCACTGGGCAGAGAAGGAGGGAGTTGAGCAGGAGATTAGAGGACCTTGGCCTGGAGCTGTACACTCAATCCTGGGTCAAAGTTTGCATGCCTTTGCGTGAGAAGCTCTTTGGCTAGGATTCCCTAGTGATCAATACCAGGAGCAGGGGCAGAAGTGCTGGGGAGGGGAGAGGGCTCTGGGCTGGAGAGATGGAGACAGCTGAGAGGGCTTAGCCCAGCAGAATCATCAGCCCAGGACTTTCAGTGAGCCCTGCTGGGGGCTGTGGGCAAAGGGGACTGGGAGACAAGCAAGACCCACAGCAAACCCCTGCCCCATGGTAGAGATGGGGGTCATACCCTAGACAGATCCTGTGATAAGTCTGGAGATGCTGCAGGAGCTGTGAGGAGGCTGGGGCAGGACGGGTGTTAAAGGATGCCCCCCAGAGAGTGGAGATCTAGAGAAGAGCCCTGGAGTCTAAAGAGCATAGGAAGGGCATTCCTAGCACGGGGAGGAGACACAATGTGAACAGCAGGTGGTAGTGGGAGGTCGGGGTGAGGCAGTTTGGGTAGATGTGGAGAACTGGGACTTGTCTCCCAATGTGTCCTCCCCCTACCCAGCCACCCTCTTCTTCTCCTGAGATCTGAGCCTGAGCACCTTCCCTTCCTCTCCTGCCTGTGCCCAGAGAGCCCAAGAGATTGAGTTTGCAGGACACAGTGCTCAGACGGGGCAGCTCTTGGCTCCCTGGCTCTTGGCTGCTATAGTTAGGATGACAGTACTTTCCCAGGACAGTCTAAGCCTGTTGTCCTGGCAGAATTGTTAAAAGTGTCCTCTTTCACTCTCAAAAGATCCTGGCTTGGATAATAATAAGTTATATAGTCACCCCAGTGATAGTGGGCATGGGCGGGTTTTGGGGGCCCAACGTCTGTTCTCCCTTCTTTTGGCAATACCACATCAATTATCCTTTCGGGATCACCTCACCCCTGCTCTCAGCCAATTGGGTTACTGTAGCTGACCCACCCCAGGCCAAGCCAATGAGAACCCTATGGGAGTTTCCCAACACCCCTGCCTTCCGTCGTTTGCTGGAGTGCAGTGGTGCGATCTTGGCTCACTGCAAACTCCACCTCCTGAGT